ATCCAGTATTTTTACTATACTTTTTCTATGTTTAGAAGAATTAGAGATATTACTATAGAGAAAAATAAAATATTTTATTAATTATTGATAAGAGCATTCTGTTCTAACAGGATAAAGATCATTTAAAATACTTTAAAAATAAATTCTATTTATATCAGTAAGTGAAAGATTTGCAAAGTTTGTACAAGTGAAAGACAGTATTGTAAAAATGTTAGTTATTTTCCAAATTAATCTCTAAATGCAACATAAAGTCAATTAAAATTCCAATGGAGAATTGTAGCAACAATGCTTTCAATTATTTCCTCTACATCCCAAAAAAATGATTAATGGATTTTTATGTGCTTTATTCATTGCTACAAAACTAGTGTCTAGAACAGATAACCACCCTTAAAAATAAACATCTCTGTAGATCATAAACCGCACAGCAAGCTAGAGGTCGGGTTAAACCCAGTAGCTCCAGGGTGCTGGGTTTGAATTACATAAGGGCAGCTTTGGCTTTGGCTATCCACCAGCTTACAACGAGTTTGCTGTAGTAGGAAAAAAGAAAGATAGATGCCTAAGGCCTTCTAACACAGTACTACTGAAAACAGAATGGGACGTGGGGACATCCATGTTACGAGGCACAGGAGTGCCTTGTGGTGGAGGAGTGGCTAGAAGAGAGCTGTCACAATAAAACTGTAGGATTTTAGTTTGTGACATTGAGCCCAGTTTACTGTTAGGCAAACGTGGTAGAACAAGAATCGAGGAGCAAATCCAGCTGAGAGAGATGTAGAGCAGGGAAGCTCTTCTTTGTAGAAGAGAGAAAAATCACTGACATTGTCCTGATCGGAGCAGGCGAAGGAGAAGGCACGCTACCACAGTCGCGCAGAAACCGGCACGAAGGCCCCACGCCCCAGAAGAACTGTTCCCAATCAAGCACGCGGTTTTGAAAAGAGCTCCCAATTCGGGTGCCCTGCGAAATGAGAGAAAGCGCCTGGAGGAGAGTGAGCTGCAACAACAGCACCCTGCCTGTGCGCGGCCCACAGAGCGGGCAGCCGCCCAGTGTGCAGGGTGCCCAGCGACCTCCTCTGCATGCGGAGCAAAGGGAACACACGCCTTCCCCATCCCCTCAGATACCACCTTCTGGGTTTTTAATGAGTTTCCTGCCCCAGCCTGAAGCAGTCAGGAGTACCTGAAAGAAGAACTCTGGGTGGCAAAAAGAGGAAAACCACAGGCCCCTTCTGGCTACTTTAACTGCTGGGAACACCTGAAGCTTTAAATAAGAATCAAGAAAAACCAGCCCCTGGCCATTTCCTGCTTCCCCAGTCACCTGGGCAGAGAGAAGCTCAACACCTCAGACCCCTCCCCAGGTCTGGGAGAGGTCTGCCCCCAACTGCTCGTGACAGGACCCCCTCTGCCCTTCTCTGGCTTCCTCATACTTGGAATCTCTTTTTCCCCTTCACAGAATAGGTAATTGGAAGGTAAATTTGGAGGAAAATTATGTTTTTAAACTTTATTCCACAAGACCGAGGGGGTCCTGGGGGGTCTCTGGACTTGACCATTGTCTCCTTTGGCAGCAAGAACGATGAAATCGGGATCTTACCCCGTGGGCGTCCTGACCACAGCATGTCCTGACGTCGCTGGCACTTCCCCATTCAGCATTTTGAAGGTCGTGCTCTTCCCGGCTCCGTTCACCCCGAGAAGCCCAAAGCACTAAGTGGAAACAAAGTTAAATAAAACCAAAATTATATCACAAGCATTTGCTTTTACCAGATTTTGAGTTGACGTTGGGTTTTGATATCTGCAGATTTTTAAATCACACTATTGTGTAAAGCACTTTATATTAATAGATTACAAAGTCTTTTCAGAATCATCATGATATTTGAGTGGTATAAAAATTTCAGCATTAATTTACGGACAAGTAAATTGATATCTGCAGATTTTTAAATCACACTATTGTGTAAAGCACTTTATATTAATAGATTACAAAGTCTTTTCAGAATCATCATGATATTTGAGTGGTATAAAAATTTCAGCATTAATTTATGGACAAGTAAATTAATGCACAAAAAATTCAAGAGCATGACAAGTAAATGCCAACTACCCTAAGTTATGCAGAGATAATATAATATTCTTTGGAAGTCACATCATCATAATAATTATTATCCTCCTGATTTCATTTCCATATATTTTAAAGTACTTTCTAAAACTACTCCATCTTCCATTCTTCCCACACTCCACTCTGTGTGTGTGTGTGTGTGTGTGTGTGTGTATGTCACTCACAGCTTTCTTGTATACCATCATTTTTTCCATTTAAGAGGCTGTAAATTCACCCCTAAGTCAGACTCTAGTCTAATCTTGATATTAATAAAAAGATGACCTCTAGTTCTATACTCTGACACTCAGCATCATGTCAACATATTTTTTTGCCCAATTCTGCCTTACAGTTCATGTGAAAAATAGCTTTCTTGCTCACTTTTCTAAACTTTGTCTCTATATTATACCTCAGTGGATACTTTGCCTGGGACTCCACCTTGCAGACTCTCTCTCTGATTCTTGGCAATCCCCTTCCAAGACAGCTGTTTTCTGATGGCTGAGTGCTGCTACTTACTGGCTTCCTGGCTCCTTAAACCTTGGAAAATGACTGGTTCTGGATTTTCTGTCACCACGCCTTACCTACCGCATAACTCTTTGTACCTCTGGATTTCACTGCTTCCGTGAATTGCCACCTACTTCAATTGCCACATTTCTCCCAATTCCCCCGGATCTCTCCCACCATCTGAAATATGCGCCCATCTTGGTCCAGGCCTGCCCTGTCCCACATCACTGCTGACAGACAGACCACAGCTGAGCTGGGTGTCCCAGGGTGTACCGCCAACAGCCTGTCCAGACTATGTCTATGCTTTAAGGCTTAGATATACACCCAGCTTATTAATACAGCTCTCCCCGCATGCCCTGTCATTCCACTCCTCTTCCCTCCCTGCCCAGTCACCCTCTCTGGACTTACGGCACTGAAGACAATACTACTCATGTGCCTTTTAGTGTTGTCCTGCCTTGGGACAATGCTCATGTTGTCATGTGACACTGTATATGCTTATGATATTTTGTTTCCTACCCAATTAATTCCTACAGGGAGAGGGATACACAGTCATGCATCACATAATGACACTTGACAATGATAGATTGCATATGTGATGGTCGTCCATAAGATTATGATCCAGTATTTTTACTATACTTTTTCTATGTTTAGATACATAAATATTGACCATTGTGTTATGGCTGTCTACAGTATTCAGTACAATAACATGCTGTACAGGTTTGGCCCCCAGGAACAATAGGCTATACCAGATAGCCCAGGTATAGCTATACCTATATCACCTGGGATTGTGAACTATATGATGTTCGCACAATGAAGAAATAGCCCAGCGATGCATTTCTCAGAACTATCCTCATCGTTAATCGACTCGGGACTGTATCTTAGGCATCTCTGTATTTTCCACAGGCTCTTGCATAGCACTTTCCATCTACGTAATAAACTGTGATACTAGTAAAAGCTTATAGAGTAAGACCCAGGTTTAAATGGCACCACGGATCATTTCAGAGACCTGGAGCATCATTCTTTTAAAGTTTTCCAAGTTTTGCTCTTATGCCTGTTGACACTTAGAAATGATACTCCAAAAATCGTCTCAGAAGCAGCCTCTAAAGCAGAAGCTTCCCTCTGACGTCCTACTCTCCCGTCTCTCCGTCCCATTCTCTCCTGAGTCTAGTCTTAGAAACTGGAATCCCTCTTCCCCACGGTGGGTCAAAGAAATCAGAACCCCCTTTCCCAGCCATAAAACCTAAAAATACTATTCTTAAGTCCCACACCTCACTGACCCTTCTGTGTAAAAACTGCCCATAACAAAATTATCTGACCTACCTTGTTTGACTGAAGGACATAGCATCCCCATTCCAGAGCAGGCCCTGCCCCACACGCAGAAGGAAGGAATGCTGTTCAGAGAGGCCAAGAAGCATCTAGACAGACAGGCCTTGCTGGGTTTCCCCACTCAGTCTACCAGGATTAGATCATACTCTTTTTATCCAGTCATATTTCTACATGGCTGCCCATACCTTGCTGAACCTAAGCATAAAAATTGAGTTTCCCCTGTATCTTTGGGTCTATATTCTAAAGGCTCCCATGTCATGTGAAACTATGATCAAATAGATTGTACACCTTCTTCCTATGAATCTGCCTTTTGGCAGTGACTTGCAGCGAACCTGCAGAAGGCAAAGGAGCAGTTGGCCCTTAGCACCTACATCCCCCCTTTGCATAAAACTACCATGGAGAGGTAGTGGCAAAACTAATATGGATTCTTAAAGCAAGGGTAAAAACAGTTCAATATGATGGGTAAGATTGCATAGCCAGTCTTAGAGCAGCAGCAAACAACAACTGCACAAAAATCCTCCCTTAACATTTTGTTCTATTCTACCAGAAACTGTAGCCCAGGGAGTAAGGATACTCCTGCGTTACTTCAGTTTGGTCTCTTGGCTTCTCTTTAGCTCAGAATGCTCATATCTGAAACTCCTGCTCTCAGCTCACAAGTGGAACATGAATACCAATCAGATGACAATATAACCTACTTTGAATTTCTCAGGAGCTTGGAACAATATGAATGCAAGTATCCTTTATTTTTAACAGTTAATTAAAGGTAATCATTTCCAGAACTGATTTCCCTTTATGCATTGAACACAAATCAGGAACAATTTATATGGCTTCTGTCAGTTCTGATTGAACATTGTTACTAGATTTCATGCCATATCCATGAAAAAAAAAAAAAATCTCTGAGCTATTGCTATATCGTATGGGTGTTTTTTACCTTTCCAGAGCAGCATTTCATCAGATTGATTTAACTGGACATTTAAAGAGTACTGAAGGCCAGGTAAGAGATGAAAGTGGCTTCCTTAATTAATTAGATTCATAAAATATTTGCCATCAATAAAAAGTCATCTCATAGCCCAACCAATAATTAAAATTCCTTAATCACATGAAGTTTTAAAAATTATGAAACAAAATAAACTCTATCAATCAATCAGCAAAGTTTTCACTGTGGAAAGAGCCACAGACCCTCTATTAAGGTTCTGCTTCTATATATTTTGTAGAAATTCCTGAAAGTTGGAGACTGTTTTGGCTCCAATTT